AGGATTGCTACAGTACTAGGGTCACATCCCACCAAGGAGTTTCATTCAGTTCAAGGGAGAGTCACTATGTTTTAGAAAAGGAACGGCAAAATATTCATTTACCACTGTAAATCAGTGTTTTATTTCCTAGCTTTAATAGGCTCCTTCCTGCCCTCCCATCCCCTTCAACCATGTCCCAGTTGGAAGGCTGAGTAAAGGGCAGGAATATTGCCAGCCGGTGACCTGAACTGAGGCAAGGAATAAACACATCCAATGGAAACAGGTAGACAGACTGCTCAGTGGGAATCTTCTAGGTGTTTCAGTAGCCCTGGTGAAGTCCTGTTTGAGCAGGTGGCTGTGCTCAAGAAGAACATGGTCCTGGGCCCCTGGCTGAGGCTTCAAGATCACCAGGGTAGACTGGATCTCAGCAGGATCCATCAATGTGTGTGGCCGACTAGGTCCTCACAGAGGATCTTGGTGCTCAGGAAAGCCCTCCTGAGTGCTTCTCCCTGTGCCTGCTCTGACCTGGAGCCACCTGTCTGTTTTGCCTTTGAACCTCAAATCCTAACCGTTTGCTGAGAGCACTTAGCAGGTGAAGCAAGATGATGTTCTTGCCAAGAAGCTGAGTCCCTGTCTTTGCTTTGTATCTGTTACTTTGGTGAAGTTTGAAATTCAGAGGGGAATGAGTCTCAAGCTCTGTCGAGGTGATTGGAAGGAAAAGACCAGCCTCTGTGGCAGGAGAAGGCAAAGTTCCATAGTCCAAAAGGTCATGGGCTGCTGAGGACCACTTCTGCTACTAGGTCATCTTTAAAAATCAGATACCAAGGATACCTGGGTGGCTCAGCGGTTGAGTGTCTTGGGCTCAGGGCGGGATCCCGGGATTGAGTCCCAGATCAGGTTCCCTGCAGGGAGCATGCTTCTCCCTCTGCCTATGTCTCTTTCTGTCTCTCATAGATAAATAAATAAATAAAATGTTTTAAAAATTAAAAAAAGAAAAATCAGATACCAGAGAAAACCCACATTGGTGACTTCTGTCCCTGGGGTTCTAGTGTCTAGTCCTAGACCACCCTCCTCCCCCAGCATGTCCACAGAAAACTTTATTCTTTGATCCCCTCAAAGGGTGGAAGCCCATGTAAAAGAGCTATTTCTGGGAATGGTAATTCAAATCAGTGGTGTTGATTTCACAAAAATGAAGCAAACCCTTGAGACCAAACAAATATCTCACAAGAATCTCTGTACCAAGAACAAAGGTGGTCCAATGTGTTTGAGTACTAAGCAAACCCTCTGTGATTCACACCTGTTTGAGCTGATACTGACTAGTTCTTTTTTCTTTAAAAAGAAAGTGCTCCTCACAATTTAATACCAAAATAACAAAACATGCAATTAAAAATGGGCAGAAGACATGAACAGTCTTTTCTCCAAAAAAGACATCCAGATGGCCAACAGACACATGAAATGATGCTCAGTATCACTCATCATCAGGGAAATGTAAATCAAAACCACAATGAGATTATCAACTCACTCCTGTCAGAAGGGCTAAAATCAACAGCACAAGAAACAACAGGTGTTGGTGAGGATGTGGTGAAAGGGGAACCCTCATGCACTGCTGGTGGGAATGCAAACAGGTGGAGCCACTGTGGAAGACAGTATGAAGTGTCCTCAGAAAATTAAAAATAGAACTACCCTATGGTCCAGTAACCGCATTCTGGGTATTTACCTAAAAAATACAAAAACATTAATTTGAAAGGATACATGCACCCCTATGTTTACTGCAGCATTACTTACAATAGCCAAATTATGTAAGAAATCTGAGTGTAGATGAATGGGTAAAGAAGATGTGGTGTAAAAAAAAAAGAAGATATGGTGTATATGTACAATGTACAATTTATTATTTAGCCGTAAAAAAGAATGAAATCTTGCCATTTGCAATGACGTGGATGGAGCAAGAGAATACAATGCTAAGTGAAATAAGTCAGAGAAAGACAAATATCACCTGATTTCATTCATATGGAATATAAGAAACAAAACAAATGAACAAAGGGGGGAAAAGAGAAGAAACCAAGAAACAGACTCTTGAGAACAAACTGGTGGTACCAGAGGGGGGTTGGGAGGATGGGGGAAACAGGTGATAGGAATTGAATAGGACACTTTCCAGGGGTGTCTGGTTGGCTTAGTAGGGAGAGCATGAGACTCTCAATCTTGAGGTTGTGAGTTCAAGTCCCATGTTGAGCATGGTGCCCACTTAAGGAAAAAAATACACTTATCAGGAATAAGCACTGAGTAATGTATGGGAAGTGTTGAATCACTATATTGTACACCTGAAACTAATATAACACTATATGTTAACTACACTGGAATTAAAATTAGGGATGCCTGGGTGGCTCAACAGTCTGGTGTGTGCCTTCGGCCCGGGGCGTGATCGTGGAGTCCCGGGATCAAGTCCCGCATCAGGTTCCCTGCATGGAGCCTGCTTGTGTCTCTGCCTTTCTCTCTGTGTCTCTCATGAATAAATAAATAAAATCTTAAAAAAATTAAAAACCTCATAAAATTAAAAAAAAGTGCTCCTCTCTAAGGGTTCAGTTATGGTACTTTAGCCCCATCCTGTGCTGAAACTCAGACCAGCTTCTTGTGGAGCTTTTTGATCATACATGCCAGAAATCTCCACAAGGTGCACAGCATCAACATGGCAGTTCCACTCATGGGACTTGGTCACAAGGGAGTAAGTAGGAGGGGACAAAAGATCTGATCCTAGGCAGTTCACTGCAACACTGATTGTAATACCAAAATGTTGGGAAGAACCTATGTGGAGCCTGGTCAGATAAATCCAGGTAGTAGTGGCAGTGAAATTCCAAAATGATGCTGGAGAAATCTATTTCTTAACATAGATGTTCACTGTATACTCTTTAAAAAGATTTATTTATTTATTTGTAATCTGAATTACAATTCAATGTCAGAAAGCCAATTCAGAAGCACTATTATACAGCTACTGGTGGCTCTAGAAAAAAGCATTAAGGATTCACGAGACTTCATGACTGCAGAATTTAGATCCAATCAGGCAGAAATTAAAAATCAATTGAATGAGATGCAATCCAAACTAGAAGTCCTAACGACGAGGGTTAACGAGGTGGAAGAACGAGTGAGTGACATAGAAGACAAGTTAATGGCAAAGAGGGAAACTGAGGAAAAAAGAGATAAACAATTAAGGGACCATGAAGACAGATTAAGGAAAATAAATGACAGCCTAAGGAAGAAAAACCCACATTTAATTGGGGTTCCCGAGGGCGCCGAAAGGGACAGAGGGCCAGAATATGTATTTGAACAAATCCTAGCTGAAAACTTTCCCAATCTGGGAAGGGAAACAGGTATTCAGATCCAGGAAATAGAGAGATCCCCCCCTAAAATCAATAAAAACCGTTCAACACCTTGACATTTAATAGTGAAGCTTGCAAATTCCAAAGATAAAGAGAAGATCCTTAAAGCAGCAAGAGACAAGAAGTCCCTGACTTTCATGGGGAGGAGTATTAGGGTAACAGCAGACCTCTCCACAGAGACCTGGCAGGCCAGAAAGGGCTGGCAGGATATATTCAGGGTCCTAAATGAGAAGAACATGCAACCAAGAATACTTTATCCAGCAAGGCTCTCATCCAAAATGGAAGGAGAGATAAAGAGCTTCCAAGACAGGCAGGAACTGAAAGAATATGTGACCTCCAAACCAGCTCTGCAAGAAATTTTAAGGGGGACTCTTAAAATTCCCCTTTAAGAAGAAGTTCAGTGGAACAATCCACAAAAACAAGGACTAAATAGATATCATGATGACACTAGACTCATATCTTTCAGTAGTAACTCTAAACGTGAACAGGCTTAATGACCCCATCAAAAGGCGCAGGGTTTCAGACTGGATAAAAAAGCAGGACCCATCTATTTGCTGTCTACAAGAGACTCATTTTAGACAGAAGGACACCTACAACCTGAAAATAAAAGGTTGGAGAACCATTTACCATTCAAATGGTTCTCAAAATATACCCTAAAAACTATAGAACACTTCTGAAAGAAATTGAGGAAGATACAAAGAGATGGAAAAATATTCCATGCTCATGGATTGGCAGAATTAATATTGTGAAAATGTCAATGTTACCCAGGGCAATTTACACGTATAATGCAATCCCTATCAAAATACCATGGACTTTCTTCAGAGACTTAGAACAAATTATTTTAAGATTTGTGTGGAATCAGAAAAGACCCCAAACAGCCAGGGGAATTTTAAAAAAGAAAACCATATCTGGGGGCATCACAATGCCAGATTTCAGGTTGTACTACAAAGCTGTGTTCATCAAGACAGTGTGGTACTGGCACAAAAACAGACATATAGATCAATGGAACAGAACAGAGAACCTAGAAGTGGACCCTGAACTTTATGGTCAACTAATATACGATAAAGGAGGAAAGACGATCCACTGGAAGAAAGACAGTCTCTTCAATAAATGGTGCTGGGAAAATTGGACATCCACATGCAGAAGAATGAAACTGGACCACTCTCTTGCACCATACACAAAGATAAACTCAAAATAGATGAAAGATCTAAATGTGAGACAAGATTCCATCAAAATCCCAGAGGAGAACTCAGGCAACACCCTTTTTGAACTTGGCCACAGTAACCGGAGAAGGACAAACAGTGTATGTTCTCATTCATTTGGGGAATATGAATAATAGTGAAAGGGAATATAAGGGAAGGGAGAAGAAATGTGTGAGAAATATCAGAAAGGGAGACAGAACATAAAGACTTCTAACTCTGGGAAATGAACTAGGGGTGGTGGAGGGGGAGGAGGGCGGGGGGTGGGGGTGAATGGGTGACGGGCACTGAGGGGGACACTTGACGGGATGAGCACTGGGTGTTATTCTGTATGTTGGTAAATTGAACACCAATAAAAATTAATTTATAAAAAAATAAAAAAATAAAAAGATTTATTTATTTATTTATTTATTTATTTATTTATTTATTTATTTATTATTTGGAGGTGGGGAGCAGGGGCAGAGGGAGAGGGAGAATCTCTAGCAGACTCCACACTGAACAAGGTGCCCGGTGCAGGGCTGTATCTCATGACCCTGAGATCATGACCTGAGCTGAAACTAAGAGTCACTTAGCCGACTGAGCCACACAGGAGTCCCTGTCTCCCTTTTTAAAAAGAAGCTTATTTATTCACTTAAGTAATCTCTATACAAAACGTGGGACTGGAACTCACAACTCCAACCAAGATCAAGGGTCATAGGCTCTACCGACTGAGCCAGGCACTTGTTTCTCCCCAGCCACTCCCCCCCTTTTTTTACAGGCCGAAACCCTAGTTTATTTCAGCATCAGCAACATCTTAGCCATCACAAAATTAAATACTACCAAGGGCGACAGAAGTCTCTACAACGAGGCTAAGGGCTAAGCTGCCAAGTGGCGAACATCGGCGGGGTGCATGGCGGGCACTGCCCGGGCAATAAGTTAGGAAGCAGTGGGGCTGGTGGTGGTGGCAGATGCGGGCTGGGGCCTCACTTCTGGGCAGGCACGAGGTCATCAGTGGCCTGGCCCTGCTCCAGCCACTGCTCCATCTTGATGAGCAGCTTCACACCATCCACCACCATCTGTACCAGCTCCACCTCTGAGAAGCCCAGGCGGTTTGCGTTGAAGACATAAAAGATGCCACCCACAGCAGCTGTGTCCACACCACTTGTGCCTTGTTTCTGAAGCCGAAGCCACTTGAGCACCTCCGGGAACTTCTCATGCTTGTCTAGGTGGGGCAGCTTGATGTGCACACCTGACCGCAGGCCTGTGCTCAGGTTGGATGGGCAGGTGAGGATATAGCCCAGGTGAGGGTTCCACATGACTTCGTAATTCTTTGACTTGAAGAGTGTTTCAATCTGGGTGAGGCCGTTGTAGAACCGAGTGAACACCTCCTTCATGTTGCCCCTTTTCTGCATGGAGATGACCTGAAGGTGGTCTTCCTCGTTGATCCTCATTGATCTCGTTGAAGATATTTTTTTTTAATTTTTTTTTCACACCAGGAAGGTCTTAGTGTCATTGTGCCAGATGCCGCGGGCCTCTGGCCAGTCGCAGGCCATGCCCAAGGCCAGGAGCAGAGGCGACACAGGCTTATCGAAGAGGAAGTGGTAGTCGATGAGCTGCTGCTGCTCCGCCTCGGTCACGCTCTTGACCGCACAGTACTGGCCAGCCAGGTGGCCGCCCAGGCTTGACGGAGCTTCCATGGCTCGCTGCTCGCTGGCATCGCACTCCCCGCGGCTGCAGTGGGAGGGGAGGCAGAAGCCGCGGGTGCTGCGACGGTGCGCACCCGGGAGCTCAGCACATAGTTGGGGTCCAGGTCATCGCCGCCCTGCAGATTGTCAGGGTTGAGGTTGGTCTTATGCTCGTAGCTGGGCTGGTAGCCACCGTGCTGGTCCTCGATGATGTGGTCCAAGAGCTCCTTGAACACGTCATAGGACTCCTCGTCGCCTGCCGTGCAGCCCACGGTCATGATGTAGGGGTGGCCCGGGTTGTCCACGCCGGTCTGGATGGTGTCATCCAGCGCGAAGCCACTCGGTGCTCTGGGGGCACAGCTCCGCATACAGCTCAGGGGTCAGCACCTTGGCCATGTGGTTGTGGCCCCTAAGGTCGGAGAACTCGGCCGGGAAGTGGAGCTTCAATGTGTTGTGGCTGTTGGAGAAGGGTGTGGTGGTGGCGGGGCGGCAGGCGGGTGGCAGGCAGGTGGCTGGGTGGGGAAGGGGCACCCAGTCTGTCGGCAGCTCTGGCACCAGGTCCATCGGCAGCTCCGGGTGAGGTGCAGACGAACAGCTTCCCTTTTTTTAATCTGAAAATGTATACCTTTTCTGCTAATGAGATACATTATTTGTATAATTGTGTTTAGTTTCAAAAAAAAACTGGAAAAAAATAAAAGAATCCCTTACAACCTTTTCGGATAGCTTGTGAGTTTCAGATTCTAGAATCCCCACTGCAATAACCATTGCCCACAAGGGGGCTCCGGCACCCTGACCCTGCTCCCAGGCGCCCTGCCAATGTGAGGCTGGGCCAGCAACAGACAGGGCACCCTCGCTAGCCTGTGAGGAGCTCAGAGCCACTACCTCATTTCCAGAAGCCCTGGGCCAGCTGCCAGCTCAGATCTAAAAAACTGCTCCTGCCTCGCAGCCAGGCCTGCCCAGAGTGGGCTGGACCGCAGGAGTAAAGGGATGCCTGGAAGTTACTTGTGCAACCGCCACCACAGCAGTGATGACTAGCTCTGAGGTGCACGTGAATGTTGTCTGTTCTGGATCTTCTCCCTGGAAATCACCTGCGTCTACCGGGCACGTCTCTGGCTGCATCTCCCATGTCCAGGGGTGAAGCCCCATGTGGCCTCTGGGAAGCCTCTGGCAGACATCCATCACCCAGGAGGGTGGAGAGGGAGCAGTCCCAGCTGCGGGTGCAGAAAGCCACCCACCTTGTGGGTGGATGTGGCAGGAAATAAGATAGGAGGCTGAGGGGCCTCGCATAGGCTGGGTTCTGAGGTGGAAGTCAGGGACTCCAAACTGAGCTATCTACAGACCCTGACACTTCCTCATTTGGCCAGAAATCGTGGCTCGTTGACATTAATAACTTTGCTTTACTTCTGCTTGCAAATATTTGGGCAGCTTTTCAAAAATATAAAAGGGACACTAACAGAGTCCTGAACTTTCTGTTTGTTGGCCTGGTGAACTCCTGTCCAAGATAGTGGGGCAATGGGGCCATGGGGCTCCACGGCCTTAGCTATGCCCCACCTGCTGTGGCTGTCAGGCAAACAGAGTAAGCAAAGGAACTAACCAAAAGAGGTTTCTTTCCAAGTGTGATACAATTCCTTAAGCGGCTCTTCCTGAGTATCTGTTGTGGGCAGGTGCGATGGCCATGGCGACCCCTGCCTTCTGCAGCTCTTTGCAGGGCAGCCTCCACCCCTTAGCTGAGAGGCCTCAGTAATGGGGAGGGCAGCCCAGGCTCAAGGGCCTGGTTTCTTGGTCCTCTAGGGCCAAATACGGAGGAGGTTTGCAAGGGCCTGCCTCGAATGCTGGACCCAGGACAGATCCTGGCAGCTCGATTCCCCAGAGTCCCAGCCGGCCTTGATCATTGTTAGGTTGGAGACAGAGCTGGCTGTGACCCTGAGTGAAGTACAAGCCGCTCCTTGTCCTGAGTCGCACGTGCTGGTAATGCTCCTCATCCTCTGGGCTGATGTCTATGTTCCCATGTTTCTGAACCTGTGCTTCGCTGAGCACTTGCTCACACAACATCCTGAGTCACCCCTGTAGTCCCCACCACCACTGAGTCCTCCACTGCACCTCACTAGGTACTGGGCACACCTCACATACCAGGCAGGGGCTGCTTATGGAGCTTGTGGCCCAGCTGGACCTCACATCTCTGTTCTGAGCTGTTGTTTCTACTCCTCCTTGTGAAACTGATGGTTCTTCCAAGCAGTCCGTCCGCCCTCCCGTGTGCCCTTCGAACCATATCTCTTCCTCATCCTTGCAAGCTTCAGCTTTAGAAATTGCTGTGATGGGGCAGCCCGGGTGGCTCAGGGTTTAGCACCACCTTCAGCCCAGGGCGTGATCCTGGAGACCCGGGATCAAGTCCCATGTCGGGCTCCCTGCCTGCCACAACCTAAGGACCCAGGGCCAGAGCACTCCCAGAAAAATAAAATGAACCAAAACCACGAAGCCATTGGCATCTGATTTTCTTCATTTGAATGTCCATAGCACAGAACACTAAGATATTATTTTGGAGAAGGCTTCTGGGGACACAAAGAGTAAAAAAAACACATCAGAGAGACTTAGTGAATGTTCTCCAAAGGAATTGAGAATAAAGGTTCACACCAGAGCCCCTCTGTCTCAGTGGTAAATTCCTTCTTGATACTTGTGTTTACACAGGATCCTACCAAGTGCATTGGCCTATACACGTGTGTGTGTGTGTGTGTGTGTGTGTGTGTGTGTGTGTATGCAGATGCTATGAGCCCTGGTAGGTCCTGAATCAGCCACTTCACTGACACGCATGTAGATGTTACCAAAGGCCCACACTCTCTGGGTGTGAGGGCCCCTACAACTTCCACACGCTGCCACGTGCTTCAGTCATATTTGGCAGGAGGGGAGATGGCAGATGGCATGCCATCACAATTTCGAGAGTAATATTCTCTCATTGGGGAAGGTAGAAATGTTCACTTGCTTGAGGTCTGAGTTCTTTGAGAAATAGGTGACCCATGAACCCAAGTGGCATGCAGAGATAAGCCACTGGCTATTAGGACCCAGTCTGCTAATCTCATAATTTGTGATGATGTGGCCAAAAGCTAGGTGCCCTTTCCTGGTTAGTCCAGGTGGGCAGGGACTGTTCAAATCTGCTGCACTGCAGACTCGACCTCCTCAAAGGCAACGCTCTGCCCCAAGAGCACCTACATCCTACAGCTACAGCTCTACCCTGTGCCGTCAGGGTACAGGAGAGTCTCGGGTGACTTGTGAAAGGGCCCACCAGAGATTGGTGCCCCACCCCGAAGTCTGGGGAGGCAAGCCCTCCTCAATCATACTGCTTGCTGCTCTGGAAAAATAAAGTTCAATTCAGACCCCCAAACTAATTGCTCTTAAAACACTAGCCACCCTGGCATACAATCTTTTGCAAACTCCAGCAGAATTCTTGCCTCCAGCCACAGGAGGGAGGCGGGGGTTTAAAAAAAGGAAGTGCCAGGCAGCCTGGGTAGCTCATCGGTTTAGCGCCCTCTTCAGCCTAGGGTGTGACCCTGGAGGCCCGGGATCCAGGCTCAAGGCTCAGGATGGAGTCCCGCCCGCATTGGGCTCCCTGCATGGAGCCTGCTTCTCCCTCTGCCTGGGTCTCTGCCTCTCTCTCAGTGTCTCTCATGAATAAATAAAATCTTAAAAAAAAAAAAAAAAGGAAGTGCCTGGGCTGGTGACATGGCCTCTAAGGCTAACTTTGCTTATTAAGTATTGCAGCTACAGAGATGAAAATAGATAGGCCCCATGGTTCCCTCAGATCCTCTGCTGAAAAAGCTCTGGTAGGTACTGCTGGGCAGGTGGAGGTTTGGGTACTTTGGGAGCTTAGGGGACTCTTTTCAAGAGACACCTTTGAGCCACTGATGGATGACGAGAACAGGCAAGCGAGGTCCAGAAGGCTCTGGTGAGCAGCCCAGGAAGCCTGGGGTGAGAAGCAGAAATAACAGAGATGCCAGGTCATGTGGGGCCTCCAGGAACTTGGTCAGGAGTTGGTGTGGATTCTAAATGTAACAAAGTGGTGAGTTTAGAAAGTGGTGTGATAGGACTTGATGTGAGTTTTAAAAAGATCTTTATGTTCTCCAAAGTTCACCAGAATGAAGGAGGAATAAAGGAGGATTACAGTTGGCTTGAAGTTTCCTAACATTTCATACAGCTCTAAAAGAATCACCAGCAAAATTAAAAAAAAAGAAAGAAAGAAAAGAAAGAAAAGAAAGAAAGAAAGAAAGAAAGAAAGAAAGAAAGAGAAAAAAAAAGAAAAGGAAGTAGGGGCAAGGCCTTAAGAGGATATAGAGAAAAGGATCAAGAGAACATAGGAAATCTAACCTGGTCCTAATCTGATGTTTTTTCTACCTTCAACAAACAATTGGCATTTGTGGTTAGCCAAATGTAGTAATAAATGGGATGATGCTCTCAGCATTGTACTTCTCTGGAATCGGTGTCAGTTGTGGTTTCGGGTGCACCCTTGGGCGTGAACAAGCTTGGTGTGGTAATGATCATGCCTGACCGGTTTTATTTGTGGAACACTAAATATCTTGCCACCTTACCTACATGGCTGGACCTGTCTTCTTCTTAGCTATGAGAAAGGGGACACCATGTGATCATAACAGCTAACAATTTTTCCTTCTCACAGCAATATTCTCTCCCAAAGCAACTGAACACACATCCCTCCATTCCACTCTTGACAAGCATTGAGGGGTGGATTCCTGTAGGGTTGAACTCTCCCCAGTGATCCCGTGACAGTCAAGCATCCTCAGGATTCCCTCAGGAGTGATCACTCTGATGGGGGCTTTCAGCCCTTCCCATTCTCTTTGCTCCTCATTCTCCCGGCAGCAACTTGTGGGCATGGCATCTGCAAGCCGCCAGTGCTCCCACAAGCCCTGATTTCAGATACTTCAGAATAATCCTCACTTGGCTGGGGTTCCCTCACTTTGCTGGAAATGATCTCAAAGAACAGGCTTCGTACTCTCACCACATATCCCCCATCTCAGGGTCTTCATTGGTGGCTCAGAGATCCCCTGCCTGTCACCCCCCCCCAGGGCTGCAGAGCTCCCCAAGGAAAATGTGGGCATGCCAGACTGTTGCAGCTTGCCCCTCTACAGTCATAGTGAAACTCTGTGGAAGCCCAGAATGGAAGCAATGGCTGAACATCTCTGACACATCTTAGTCGGTGTTTATACTGCCCTCTGTGCTGCCACATGGCTACAGACTTGTACCCTCTGTCAACTTTGCTGATGGGTGTGGCATCAGAGCACACAAATGAAGGATTCTCAGACTATAGCAACCCGAGGTCCGAATCTGTGACCATCTGTCAAAGAAGTACTATGGGAGCAGCATTTCTTTTAACTAGGATGGCCAAGTAGAGAAATGGCTTCTGGGAATTCTGTATCATATCAGCACTAGCTAGCACAGAGTAAAGAGTTGTCAAAGACAAAGGCAGACGCTAATTACAGTGGGATAGACATTAATCAATAAGTTACTGTTGTGATAGGGAAGAGGATCCAGCATACACTGACCTCAACTTCCATTTTTATAGTGGGCATTTTCAAGGGAAGAGGGGGTGGGTGCTGGCAGTTGTACAGGGAATTTCCTGTGGATCT